AGTGTTTAATATTGGTTAAGCTAGTCCTTGGTAAAATATGATGTAACATTAAACACTATTACAAAGTATGGCCACTAATTAGTTTAGTGTTTAATATTGGTTAATCTAGTCCTTGGTAAAATGTGATGTAACATTAAACACTATTACAAAGTATGGCCACTAATTAGTTTAGTGTTTAATATTGGTTAATCTAGTCCTTGGTAAAATATGATGTAACATTAAACACTATTACAAAGTATGGCCACTAATTAGTTTAGTGTTTAATATTGGTTAAGCTAGTCCTTGGTAACATATGATGTAACATTAAACACTATTGTTATATAACTAGGATCTTCTCCCAACCACTGAGGACAGATTTAATCTGCAACGACGTTTGTATAACAGCAGCGCCCTCTGGAGGAACGAACAATGTGCCAACAACTTACAGCAACCCGCTTCCATCATTTTGCGGAACACCAAGTTCCACCACTGGCCCTATGATTCCTGTTACCAACTTCGTTAATCCTCAGTTAATCCAAGCCTCTACGTCCCCCAACAATAAAGGACTGCCATTCTCCTCAACTATTTCCTCAACTCGTTTTTATATCCGGAAATCGTGCAACCACCGGTGCTTGTGTAACATGGCGACGATTGTCCTCATACTGGTGGCTATTGTTATCACTACTATTATGGCGTATTTTGCTGGTAAGAGAACTGTTGAAGAAGTAAACAAGATAGAATGTAGATTATCTGAGGAACTAGTAAGTGTTCAGTTTCAATTCCTTGAAAGCCATGAATACAGATATTTCGATTTACAACATGAGTGAACTGTAAGATTTTTAAGTTTACATTGGGGATTTTTTTTGTAGAAATAATAATAATGCATGAATAATTACTGAATCAAGTTATACATCAGGCATGAATAATTACTGAATCAAGTTATACATCAGGCATGAATAATTACTGAATCAAGTTATACATCAGGCATGAATAATTACTGAATAAAGTTATACATCAGGCACGATTAATTACTGAATCAAGTTATACATCAGGCATGAATAATTACTGAATCAAGTTATACGTCAGGCCTTGATTCAGTAATTATTCATTTATACATCAGGCATGATTAATTACTGAATCAAGTTATACATAAGGCATGATTAATTACTGAATCAAGTTATACATAAGGCATGAATAATTACTGAATCAAGTTACACATCAGGCATGATTAATTACTGAATCAAGTTATACATCAGGCATGAATAATTACTGAATAAAGTTATACATCAGGCATGATTAATTACTGAATAAAGTTATACGTCAGGCATGATTAATTACTGAATCAAGTTATACATCAGGCATGAATAATTACTGAATCAAGTTATACATCAGACATGACTAATTACTGAATCAAGTTACACATCAGGCATGAATAATTACTGAATCAAGTTATACGTCAGGCATGAATAATTACTGAAATTATGTTATACATCAGGCTGACGATGAATATGAATAAAATCATTATAAAAAACCCTTAAACCAAATATAAGTTTGCCATAACGTATTACAGTTGTTTCCTTAGTTACTTGTCCGTATAACGTATTACAACTATTTCCTTATTTACTTGTCCGTATAACGTATTACACTTGTTTCCTTATTTACTTGTCCGTATAACGTATTACACTTGTTTCCTTAGTTACTTGTCCATATAACGTATTACAATTGTTTCCTTAATTACTTGTCTATATAACGTGTAACGTATTACAATTGTTTCCTTAGTTACTTGTCCGTATAACGTATTACAACTATTTCCTTATTTACTTGTCCGTATAACGTATTACAATTGTTTCCTTAGTTACTTGTCCATATAACGTATTACACTTGTTTCCTTAGTTACTTGTCCGTATAACGTATTACAATTGTTTCCTTAGTTACTTGTCCGTATAACGTATTACAATTGTTTCCTTAGCTACTTGTCCATATAACGTATTACACTTGTTTCCTTAGTTACTTGTCCGTATAACGTATTACACTTGTTTCCTTAGTTACTTGTCCGTATAACGTATTACACTTGTTTCCTTAGTTACTTGTCCATATAACGTATACACTTGTTTCCTTAGTTACTTGTCCGTATAACGTATTACACTTGTTTCCTTAGTTACTTGTCCGTATAACGTATTACAATTGTTTCCTTAGTTACTTGTCCGTATAACGTATTACACTTGTTTCCTTAGTTACTTGTCCGTATAACGTATTACAATTGTTTCCTTAGTTACTTGTCCATATAACGTATTATAATTGTTTCCTTAGTTACTTGTCCATATAACGTATTATAATTGTTTCCTTAGTTACTTGTCCGTATAACGTATTATAATTGTTTCCTTAGTTACCTGTCCACATAACGTATATTTTTATGTAAGTAGACGGTCAAAGTTCGATTAAAGTTAATATCAGATTATAGAGGATAAAACTTCCTTTGGAAAACATAGATGAGGATTATCACACTCAGTAAAATCAGTAATAAGTTGATGGTTTGAAAAGAGTCTAGTGATGGACTGAGACTATTAATATTAGTAGATTTATATCTCTTTTTTTTTTAAATATTATAACCTAATGTTATTTTTATTATTCGAAGCCACGAGCACTCTGGTTGTAAATCAGGAGACTAATAAGCCTTGTATCGTGTTTGATGATGGAGGGATGTCTCAAAATACTATGAACATCATTACTTCAGATTCAAAAGGTAAACATTTTAATATCAGATTTCAGATCGTTTTGACTCAAATGTAGTTGTAGATATATAGATGAACCCTAGAATCTTCGGTTGTTCCAATAATATTGTTAGGTTCATTTTAACCTGTTATGTTTAGAAATTATCATAAAGTATTGAATAAAGTCCGATAAATTAGCATTGATAGAAACATCTTTTGACTAAAATAAATTATCTCACCATAAAGTAAAACCTTTTAAGACGTTTACTATTCATTGTCAACTCCTTATAGTTAACGATGTTTGAGCCGTAGTTTTAGTACAAGCTACGAATACTAATTAACTCTTTGAGCTCTGAAATCCCTCTGCAGGAGGTTAAGAGAACAGTTTTGTATACTCTGGACATATATTAGTAAACTTAGATTGAACAAAGTATATTTACTAAGTTAAATATTCCATTTCAACAACAGAGCATGGAAATCTATTTCTTGGCAAGTCTGTTGAAAGAGGATTTTTCGTGTATTATGTAAACAACATGTTAATATATTTTATATTCCAGTTAGTAATGGGAATTACCAATCATCTTGTTTCGCTATTCCAAGCGAAACGGTCCATTACTCCCAAATTGTCCTAGATTCATCGTTCTCAAAGCGACTGGGAGCACGACATTCATGGACAGTGTGGTTCAACCAGACAAAAGCTGCGTGGGTTCGCTTTAACTTGACCACTCCACGAAGTGTACGTCTTGCTATATTAGCCAGGAGAAACTGGCAGCCTTCTTTAACAAAGTACGACATATATGAGATTGTGAGTCCAGAACAATCTCGTACTTACAAACGTGCTGCAGTGGTAAGTTGTTGTATTTATATGTATTAATCTCGTACTTACAAACGTGCTGCAGTTGTAAGTTGTTGTATTTATATATATTAATCTCGTACTTACAAACGTGCTGCAGTGGTAAGTTGTTGTATTTATACATATTAGTCTCGTACTTACAAACGTGCTGCAGTGGTAAGTTGTTGTATTTATACATATTAGTCTCGTACTTACAAACGTGCTGCAGTGGTAAGTTGTTGTATTTATATATATATTAATCTCGTACTTACAAACGTGCTGCAGTGGTAAGTTGTTGTATTTATATATATATTAATCTCGTACTTAGAAACGTGCTGCAGTGGTAAGTTGTTGTATTCATATATATTAATATCGTACTTAGAAACGTGCTGCAGTGGTAAGTTGTTGTATTTATATATATTAATCTCGTACTTACAAACGTGCTGCAGTTGCAAGTTGTTGTATTTATATATATTAATATCGTACTTATCAACGTGCTGCAGTTGCACTAATCTATATTAAGACAAATTACTAATCTACATTAAGACAAATCACTATTCTACATTAAGACCAATAACTAATCCACATTAAGACAAATCACTAATCCACATTAAGACAAATCACTAATCTATATTAAGACCAATCACTAATCCACATTAAGACAAAACACTAATCTACATTAAGACAAAACACTAATCCACATTAAGACAAATCACTAATCTACATTAAGACAAATCACTAATCCAGATTGAGACAAATTACTGATCTATCCAATTACCTCAGCCATACAGATAAATATTTTGGACGTGACTATGAGGTATTCTAGTTAAGCAACAGAAACTGTCTGACTACAACATCTTCACTACAAATCTGCCACCCCTTCCCATTATAAACTTATATATTCAATCTCTCCATATAAAAATTACAGTGATATAAACAATTTTAAAATTCACACTAAAGAACGTGTGATAGAAGAATTTAAAATTGATAAAAAGATTGAAAAAAGCCAACATTTAAAAAAAATATTCCTTGACACTTCAACACTAGCATAGCCACAGAAAATAATTAATCTTGTTGCCACCTGTTATCAAAAAACATTTCATTGTCATGAAAAATAATTAACCTTGTTGTCACTTATTATCAAAAACCTTTCATAGACATGGAAAATAATTAATCTTGTTGTCACCTATTATCAAAAACCTTTCATAGTCATGGAAAATAATTAACCTTGTTGTCACCTATTATCAAAAACCTTTCATTGTCATAGAAAATAATTAACCTTGTTGTCACCTATTATCAAAAACCTTTCATTGTCATGGAAAATAATTAACCTTGTTGTCACCTGTTATCAAAAACCTTTGATAGGCATGGAAAATAATTAACCTTGTTGTCACCTATTATCAAAAACATTTCATTGTCATAGAAAGTAATTAACCTTGTTGTCACCTATTATCAAAAACATTTTATTGTCATAGAAAGTAATTAACCTTGTTATTACCTATTATCAAAAAACATTTCGTAGTCATGGAAAATAACCTTGTTGTCACTTATTATCAAAAGCTCAAGAATGCTAAACTTTTCTGAAATGTACGAGCATGTCCAGAACGGGTTTTGATCTCGTGATCCGCAGATTACGAGTTGATTCCCTAATTACTAAGCCATGACAAGTTTGACCATTTTAAAAAATGCCTAAAATTACTTTTTTGTTTACTTATATAGAAGTAGTTTAGTTTTATAGAATTATAAGTACACAACGTTTAGATGAATCAGTTTGTTGGAGAAACATAAATGACATATTCAACGTTTCACCTTGGACACACCAGATAACCGTTGAAGGCCGTTTCAGTATTGACAAACCCAAAATAATATTTAAAGCTGGACAAACCTAACTGAACCTTACAGCTAATACAATATGGAGAAACCAAATGCCATTCAGAGGTCGTAAAAATATGAATAAACCAAACAAACGTTAAAAATGGTTCCAATATGGACAAACCAAATCAGCGTTGAAGATGGTTCCAATATGGACAAACCAAATCAGCGTTAGAAATGGTTCCAATATGGACAAACTAAATCAGCGTTAGAAATGGTTCCAATATGGACAAACCAAATCAGCGTTAGAAAGTATTCCAATGTGGACAAACCAAATCAGCGTTAAAGATGGTTCCAATATGTACAAACCAGATCAGCGTTAGAAATGGTTCCAATATGGACAAACCAAATCAGCGTTAGAAATGGTTCGAATATGGACAAACCAAATCAGCGTTGAAGATGGTTCCAATATGGACAAACCAGATCAGCGTTAGAAATGGTTCCAATATGGACAAATCAAATCAGCGTTAAAGATGGTCTCATTATGGACAAACCAAATCAGCGTTCAGAGATCGTTTCGATATGGACAAACGAAAAGACTATTACAGAACATGTCACTTTGAGTAAATCTTTTGAACCACAAATCACCTGTTCTTAATTCTAACTTTGAACAGTTATATCAGTTTTTTTGTTACTATCAACCATTATCATGTTTAATTACTTTTTCTACTTATATACTATTCGTTTTGTTATATTTATATTTCGTACTTTGTAACAAATTCACTGTCTTTTTTCATCACTTTATGGACTGGGCGTGGCCTAGTAGTTAGCGTACCGGACTGTGAATCCGAGGAGTTCGCGGTAGAGAAGCTCACTATAACGCACTTTGTTGAAAAGCATGGATCCATCTGAATCAGGATTTGGGAGGGTCAGGTGCTGTTGAATAGCATGGATCTATCTGAATCAGGATTTGGGAGGGTCAGGTGCTGTTGAATAGCATGGATCCATCTGAATCAGGATCTGGGAGGGTCAGGTGCTGTTGAATAGCATGGATCTATCTGAATCAGGATCTGGGAGGGTCAGGTGCTGTTGAATAGCATGGATCTATCTGAATCAGGATCTGGGAGGGTCAGGTGCTGTTGAATAGCATGGACCTATCTG